TATGGGTGTGTATGTGTCTATGTATAGTATGGTGTGGTGTGTGTGTGGTATGTGTGTGTGTTTGTGTCTCTGTGTGGTATGTGTGTATGTGGTGTGTGTGTATGTGCCTCTGTGTGGTATGCATATATGTGGTGTGTATGTGTCTGTGTATAGTGTATATAGTCCAAGCACATGCACTTGTATGTCTATGTGCATGCGGGCATGTTCTGTGAGTGCAGTGCCTGTGGAACTCACTGACTCCTAGAGCCCATTCTTATTAACTCATCAGTGTTTACTGAAGGCCTACTATGGGTAGCAGAGAGAATGATGAGTTATACAGATGAGGTTCTGCCCCTGATGCAGGTGACAGGCTGATGAAAATTAGATTAATTACATGTTTCTGGGCACTGGTGGGAATCAGCAGGACGCAGCGAAAGCTATCAGAGGCATGCCTGGATTGGCCTAGAGAAATTTGTTCATGGAACTGAGGAGACCTGGCTTATAGAGCAGAGGAGACAGATTGAAACCATTGCCATGGACAGAGCAGTCCCCTGCACCCCCAGAAAGGCATTCAAGGGTCAGGAACAGAGAAAAAGAAGAAGCAGCTCTGCAGCCTTCTGTGTGGGGAAATGACTGCAGAGGGGTAGGGGTGGTTGATTCCAAAGTGGGAGCCATAGTAGAAATGTGGCTAATATTTGTATTTTTCTTGAGGGAAATAAGCCATAAATAGAGGGAAGAGACATTAAAAGTATCCTTTGAGAAAGATTGTTTAAACTCCACTGTGAAGAGTAGATCGAGAGGAGGTCAGGACTTGCCAGCGGGCAAGTGGCTTCTGGAGCTGGGTAGCCTGTGCTTAGAACTGGCTTGTGGCAGTCGTTAATTCAGTGTGATGAGGGTGGGAGTGTGAACCTTTCTAAACTTCTGTTTTCTGTTCTGCACGAAGGACACAATAGCATCTAAACAGATTCTTGTATGCGAATCTCCTGTAGCACTGATTCCTGGTACACACCATGAAAAACTTAGTGTCAGCCTTCACAGGGTGGTGGGAAGGAAAAGATCCTCTGGAGACACTGTTCATAGGTCTCAATGATTAACAAAATGTAGATCACGCATGAAGGAGACAGTTTAAGGGTTGAGAATTTTAACAATGTTCTGTATGATCGATTACATTTGAGTTTCAAATAATAACCACTTAGTATGAGTAAAGTGCTTTTTTTTAACAACAAAATCACTGTTAAATTAAATGTTAACTGGGAATCCTATGCTTTATCTGAATTATTATCAAATGTCTCTCTGGTATATAGGATACATCACTTCCTGTTTGATAACTACTTAGAGCTGAGTAGAAGAGGGCCAGGTTTTAAGTGAAGAACTTCAAATAGGCCTAAATTATTTTAAATTGTGAATTAACTTATTTTAAATTCCAATGAATGTTTTGCCTGCATGTATATATGTACATCACTCAGGTGCCTGGTGTCCAGCGAGGCCAAAAGAGGGTCTCAGATCTCCTGGAACTGGAGTTTGAGACAGTTGTGAATCACATGTGAGTACTTGGAATTGAACTGAAGGCTTCTCTAAGAGCAGCACGTGTTCTAAACACTGAGCAACCTCCCCAGCCCCTACACTAAATTTTCATGTAGGTCACCGAATTTTTTTTATTTGTAATTAATATATTAATCAATATATTAATCAATAATATATTCATCAAGAAGGGCTCTAGCCACTGTTGTAGTAAAGCTCACGGGTTCCTTGAGATTATTTTGGTTTTGTGTGCTGTTAAAACATCATTTTGAGAGAAGATTGAACCAAAAGTGAAAATGAAATCTTTTTCTTATTTCTAGGCTTTTACAGTTCTCCTGGCAATGCCACTGGCTGCCTGCCATGCTCATGCCACATAGTTGGTGCTGTGAGCCACATCTGTAATAGTGTCACCGGGCAGTGCTCTTGCCGTGATCCCTTCACCACTGGGCGGAGCTGTCACCAGTGTCAAGACCATTACTTTGGATTTGATCCCGAGAAAGGGAGGTAAATCTTTATTTGTATGGATAACAAAACATTATAGATTTTTATCTTTAGTTTTCCTTTTCAACAAGAACTTGGTCAATTTTCAAGCAATAACTTCTACAGAAATGTTCTTTGGGTAATATATTTTTGAACCCTTGATATCTTGGTTGCTAAACTTAATGGTTATTGCTTCATTCTGTCCTTGTGAACTTTGATATTCTCCTATCATCACTGAAAAACTCTCTTCAATGACCAAGAGATATCTTCATTGTCTCATTTGTTTTTACTCTGTGTGTGTGTGTGTGTGTGTGTGTGTGTGCACATGCACACATTTCTACAGATGGAAGTCAGAGGTCAACTTTGGGTATTTTTCCAAGGAGCTGGCCTTTATAATAAAGAGTCTCCAACTAGCTTGGAATTTGCCTATTAGGCCAGGCAGAGTCAGGGACCTACTAGATGTATAAGTGTGTACCACCATGCCTGACTTTTGTGTATGGATTCTGAATCTCAAATTCAAGTCCTGTTGCTTTTCACAGCAAGCAGTTTGTCATCTAAACTCCTTCCCCTGCCCCCAACTTATGTTTTTTAAAGAAAGACACTGTTCCCTTGAGTCTATGGCAATCTTCACCCTTCAATTTCCTTAAATCCAAGACTGCTTTTGGTGAGATAAAATCCTGCTTTCTTTCTCTCTCCATTTCTACCCATCACACCTCCTATCCCAGCTTTTTCCAGGACCCAAACCTGCTTACAGGAGAGTGTGCTGTCATTTGTCACACTGCAGGATGTCTGGCTAGCACTGGAGATGGAGTATCTGGGTTAGACAGTAGATTGAAATGTTAACATTAACTAATGAGGAGTAGGAAGAGATAAAGAAGACAGTAGAGTCTGCAGTATTGGAAGGCACTGAGGTATTTTCAAACTTTGAATCTAGTGAAATTATGTGATCCATGAAAGGGCAGAGTGTAGAAAACAGAGCCAAACTATGACAGGTCGATTTCAGGACAGGGGAAGATCTAGACAAGTATGAATTTAAAGAAAGATGATTCATAACTGATTTTATGCAGATTAAGTTGAATATTTCTGCATACTATCTGACTCATATTGACTCAGAGAAAGAGTGACCTTAATAAAATTACACATTATTCTTTAACAGGAAAGCATTTTTCTCCCACTCATGGTGCCTTCATATGTATTCTTCCAAGTTTCATTCATTGAGTACTTGGAGTATCCCTGTATTTTCAATCTGAGAACCTGTGTTTTAAAGGCTTCCTCCTACCTTGGTTCCTTTGGGATATGGTTCCTTTTTACAGTTAGGGCCAAGTGAGAGGTTGTCATTCCAGTGGGAAATGTCCTTGAGGGAGACATGAAACCTCAGCCCATTCCTCTGTGTTTTTCATTTCCCAAACACTCCCCTGACATGATGTGTCATGATGATGTGTCACCATAGCAACCAACAATGGGAATAACCAATGAAGCCTTGACTTTCTTTATGTACATTGTCTAGGACATTCATTGTTGTGATGCAAAGCTAATACAGGGATAATGCATTTCTTTCCTTTCATCTCTAATGCTTAAACTATGGAAATCCTCAATTTCTACTGAAGTTCTCCCATGTCTAACACTGGCTTATTCTTTCTGTGTCTCAAATCTTCAAGATTTCAGAAATATTGTGCTATGACTAGATGACCTTGTTCCAAGTCTCTCTTCCCAGAACCACCACTTAACGTGTTCCTAGGCTTCATTTAATTTTTATGCTGCTATCCCTTCCTGGTTCTACATTGATCAATCATGTGACCAGCTTTGTGATCTTCTGCTCCTATCCTGAGACAAAACCATCTTTGTTTTGCTTTCAAGCTCTGTCTTTTCTGCTGGGCTGTAGGTTAGTTCTGTAGGTGACCCCCTTGCTGCTGCCCTGGGCTGACTTAACTGAGGATGAACTTCTGCTGAATGGACCCACAGCCTTGCATCATGCATGTACTTCTTGCTACCTTAGTCTCCTGCCCCTTCAGACGGTGGCTGATGCCTTTGACTTCAGCTCCCTGAACACCTTGTAGATGTTCCAGCCCTCCAGAGCAGATGAAACAGCAACAGAAAGAGATGACTCCAGATTGCCTCTCTTCCTCCAGTGTGTCTGCCTTCTTATATATTCTTGCTTTCTATCTAGTCATAGAGGAAAACAACCCTTGTAAAACTGGCCTATTTTGAGTGTGATCCCTTCCTAAGTTTTGTTTTCTGTTCCTTCCGTCCCTTCTCACCTTCATCTCCCCATCCTCCCATATGAATCTTGATTTATCAAATTCTTCACTTATTTAACTTAACAGACGCCTCTTCACTGGATAAAGCTGTACAAAGATATGCTATCATCTCTTCATTACCAGCTCATCTCCTTGGCCTCTCCCACTTTATAAGGCCTGAGCATTATTATGTGATTTTTCATTCTTGTGTTCACTTATATTTTAAAAACATTTTTTCTTGCTTCTTCCTGTTCATTTCTTTGCATCTTTTTCACATCCGCCACTCTTTGTGCATATGATAACCAAATCCATGTAACACAGACAGCTAAGGAATAGCAAACTTTGGTAGCATCAGGGTGGAACATATGGACTTCCATATGTAAAGCAAGTGTTCTACCATTGAGTGACATTCCTAGTCCCCTAAATGATCCATGGAATTCTCATCTCTATCAAAGACAAAGTATATGCCAAAATAGAATAGATAAGCAAGAGTTAAGGAAAGATTGTTAGAGAATAGAGTTGCCCTGGAGGAAATGACAGAAGTATCCATGATGCCTTATATTTGAGTCATTCTAGAGGGATCTAGGACACTTGTTGAAGGAGCACATGAATCACTTGCCATTATGGAGATGGGTAGACTGATACGTAATTTATACCTGGCAAATATGAATGGGAAGAGACTTATCCGAGATTAGCTAGACCAGCTAAGGTATTACTATACAGTCTATCTGACACTCTTAGAGTTTATCAGAGTTTGGGGCCTGATTAGAATAACAAAAAAAATGAAGTGAGCTCCCTTAGCATCAGTGTAAAGAATCATCCAGAAGCCTGAAAGATTCCAGATGGGGGAAGCAGGCAAGACTCCCATGGGCTACATATGGAATAAGAACATTGTTGAAATCGAGGTGAATCTGTGCTCTAACTAACATGTGGAACTGTTAGTAGGAAAGACTACCAGGGAGGACAGAGATCATGGAAAAAAGCTTAAAAGTGTTTCCCCAAGTGGAAGGTCATCCCTGACTGCAAGGGAAGCATACTGAGAGGTTGTTTCTGAAAATAGGTGAGGTCAGAGTATGTAGTCTGCTGTGCCAGGCCAGTATCAGCTCCTCTTAGACTGTATGTGAGGGAAGAGGTATGTATCAAAAGAGACGGGGACTATCAGTCCCCAAACCAGTCTCTTGTTCGTAGAGTCCTTGTGGTTATCATTTCTAAAATAGAAAAAAAAATAGCTCTAAGAGAAAAGTAGTTTGTTTTTTATAACGTCTAATTGAAATCTAATTTGAAAGATGACTTGATACACAACACTGAAATTCTAATGTTTTACACACACACACACACACACACACACACACACACACACACACACCCCTACCTCCAGGATCTTTAATTGTCTCTAAGAAGTGAGAGGAGCCATGGATGACTTCTTTTATATCCAGACTGAAGGAAGACAAGATTGGGTGAGGTGGGTTGGACACACCAAGGCATGGGATGCTTCAGTCAATGACACTGGAAAGGCCGACTTCTGTTTGCTATTCATGACTCATCCTCTTTTCAATGTTATGGTTGACTTAATTGTCATAATAAGTAGACTGCACTCTTCCTTTGGTGTCCAAGTCTCTACTCTGTTTTGCTCTTTGTTTCCGAACTCTCTGTTTTGCTGTTTGCTCCTATGTAACACGCCCATCCATGACTAAGCTCTGTCCTTGACATCAGCCACTACATTACTTCATCAATAACTGTTGTTGAGTATATGGTCACCTCTTTAGGTCATCAATTATTTCATCTTAATGATAAAAGATGGCATATCCTCATTATCCTGACTAAAGGGACATCCCTCTCTAAATAAAAGGTGTCTTAATAGGGCTTACAGACTTCTAGTCTGGGCATTATAGGACATAATCCATATGCTAACACTAAAAAGAACTGTGGAAAGTAAGAGTGCTGCCTATAACAAAGCTTCTCTGCAAAGCATAGAAAGACTAAAGCTCCCAGTCCTGGCTCATCATGTAATACCACAGGCTGGGCAAACATCAGGATATGTGTTCCAACCTCCAGAGCCAGCTATGTTCATATGCTTCCCTGTAACTAGTGCTGTGGAGGAGGGAGATGGAAGAGTCACTGGAGCTCAATGGCACCAATCTAGCTTCAAGTTTTGTGAGAGGCCCCATCTCAAGTGAATAGGTTAGAGACTGGCAGAACAAGACATCAGGTATCTCACTCTGGCATCTGTCTACACATGAACACATGGGCACACATTCATATGTATGTTCTACATAGACACTACAGGAACACGTAAATGAAACCACTTGTGTTTACTAAAAAGAAAGGTATCAAGTCTTTCCAGGATCCACTTGTGCTTTCTGGAATCAGTCATGCGGGCTGTTTGTGATGTGAGTTGACCCTTCTACTTTGCTGATGAATTCTGCTGTCACTCCTCACTTTAACATGGATAGTCATTAGAGAAGAGACCTTCTCTCATGAAGGTCATGAGGGGAAAGTACTTCAAACTGTGCCATAAGAATTGCTCCAGTGTGTGTTTGCTCATCATGGAGTGGGAAACAAATAGACTCTCGTCCGTTTATGATTCCCATTTCTTTTCTGAATGATAGTCTTCTAGGATGTCTCTGCTAAATTCTGTTTGCTGTCATTACACTTCACCCACAGTATCCATTTTTACAATGAAGAGTGGACTAAACACTATGGGTTCTTATATGGCATAAGAAAAACAGCTTTATCCTGTAACTATGGTGGTAGATCTCTACGATTCTAACACTTCAGGAGAGAGGA